TGTTAGACAATTTCCTTGTGGGCTTACCTCCATTATCAGCGATGTTAGCGATGATGCTGTAGATGAGGTTCAGGTGGCTGCCGTGTTTTTTTAAGTAGTCTATGATGTTAGCATGGAGTTTGAGGATGGATCAGAGCATTCATCCCCATAGTTTTGATGGTTCCCGGAACTGGGAGTGCTTTGGGGTAACTCGGTGCCACAGGAAACCAGTGGTGCATGGAAGAGCACTAGAACTGCTCTTGGCCTGAGAGACTGGAGTGCAAAGAAGTGTAAAGTGCAAGGAAGTTTTGTTAGTCTGCATTAAAATAACCTTTGCAGCCCCATTTCAGAATTTACTCACTGTTTTCATCTGTGACCTTAGCCCAAAGCCAAAGACTTGATCTATTTCCACTTGTGCTATCCCCTGCCCTGAGCAATCTTGCTCACAAAAATGCAGGGGTTTGCTTCCATATTGCTCGTGAAGACGCTCAATATCTCCCATGAAAACAAAGTCTTGATGGAACCGCTTCCAGGCAGTGAAGAATTGTTCCATCTGGAAAGATCTCATTTCATGGCAGAGAAATCCTTCTAAAAGTTACACCATCTATAAAGTATTTTTATTTTAACCTCTTCTAAACAACRAATTATCCCTTTTTAACTTTGTAGGCAGAACACTTGAGAAGCTATTTTACATTCCTGTCTGGTTGTTTTGTTGGTTTGGGTTTTTGTTTGTTTTTTATCACCAGCAAATGTTCAAGATCAACTTGTTTGGAAGAGACCTATTGATTACAAAAGCAAATATTTTTAATACTACTTTCATATCCACTGAAACAGGTTATTCAGGAATGCCTCAGGTTTTGGGGTTTTTTTTTGATCTCTATCTTGTGTTTTGCCTAATATTGAAATATCATTTTTAAATGTCATTGAGTAGTTCTTTGTCATGATAAGCAAACTGAGTATACTGGTGAACAAATTTGTTAGAGTATTGCTATAAACATTTGCTGTCTACACACTTGGACTACTTGATGTTTGTTGTTGGATGCCAAGTTATAAATSGAAGCTGCAGTGAAATAGACAAATGTTAAAAATGGAAATGGGACTCTTTTGGAAATGAAAATGAGAGGACCAATGTAGTTGGTTTGGCAAAAACCATGCCCAGAGATTTTTCTCTTTTCAGTTAAGTTTTATTATAAAGTGGAGAGAACAGTGTAAATGAACCCAGAAAGAGGAAAACGTTTCATCAAAATGCCTGCATTAATCATAATGTAATTCTCTCTTAGCCTACTGATCATATGTTAAGCTGACTGTACACACTACTTGACTAGGGGCACTCTTTCTTCTTTATAATTGCCAGTTATTTTCACTGGAAACAAAATTATATTTTCTGAACTCATAAATTTRTGGGAGAAGAGCAAAGATTGSTTTCAAGTTTTTTCCCAAGCAATAGTTAACATACTTGAAAAAAAAAAAAAAAAAAGAAAGACGAGGGAGGAAAATCTTGATAAAATTGTGAAGGAATATTGGTGTATGGCAAAAAGAACAAAATTCATGTGTGGTGTTTAGATGGTGGCCCATGCCAATTTAAACATAATAGAGAGGTTGTTGGTTTTTTTWAGAACTGATTTCTAGTTTGGTTTTTTTAGTTTTTCTGACTTAATTTTGTATTAAACATTGGTTGTGAGATCCTCTGAGAAACACTGTCTGACATTTGCAGATCCTTTCTCGGTTGCATTAGCTATGGCTGGGGTTGCTTGGTTGCTGGTTGAGTCATGAGACAGTTCTGCAGMGCAGTGAAAATTACATGGCAGACTTTGGAGGTCTTTTAAGGTGCTATTTTTAAGAACCACTAATGGGATATATCTTTGGAAAGTGATGTGAAATTATGAAGCTTTTAGCATAGGAAGGTGTGTGTGTGTGTTTAATTCTTTTTGGCAGTGGGGAGGTGTCAAAGTTCGTTTTTCTGTTGCCTTTCGGTTTTGCTGGCTGAGTGTGTGTTAAACTGCAACTGTTATAACTGGCAGTTTTKAGAAGAAACAGTGAGCATATGAAAAAGGTGCTAAAACAGTAGCTGGTTTTAATGCATATTTTCCACCTAAATTACAGGTTTCTCTTAGAAGTGCATTCACTTGATTTAAAGCTGTATTCAGTTTTATGCTGAATGTCTAACAACTGTTTTTTCTGTGTGTCTCTTTGCATCTGAACAGATTTATTTCTTTAGATGAAGAGACAATTGTGCAAATATAATTTCCATACATTTTTGTGAAATGCAAGAAGGCATATCCTCTCCAGCTGCATATATTTAAATATATTTCCAATGCAATCCAAAGACTAGAGCCTTACCAGTTCTTGTTACTGACTGTTGGTTTAATTGACAGTTTGATGACAAATACAAATGACTTCTTTCAGTCTCGTGAAAATGCTGGAGACTCAGCTTACCATAGAGGAAATACTATCTTTAGTCAGGAAGTCAGATGCATTACAATATATATATATTGGTTTTCAGTGCAATGAACTTCTGTCCAAGCCTGTGTGTTCCAATGAATAGAAATAAGGTTTCCATTTTTAAGGTGTTAATCTTAATCTTCCTAAACAAGTATTATTGTAGGTTGCATGGACTGTAATGTTGCATAACCAATTACTCTTTATCAGCTAGCTCTGTGTGAAAGACTTTTTGGATGCAGTACAATGTAAATATTAGCTTAGGAAAAATGAAATAAAGTGATATGAAGAGAATAATAAAAAACCTAGGATACAAGGATCAGAACAAGATAATTATACTGTCATTTTTAGTAATTTAGTGTCAACAATAAGTTATTATTTAATGTTCTTCAGAAATTGGATTGTGCATCATGAAAGAAATATATAATCATCAAAACAGAAAACGAATGGAAGAAAATTGAGGAAAGTATATATACACAGAGATCCTCTATTCAGAATTTAATCATACTGTATTTGCATTCTGTCATGTAGTCATGTGAGCTAACTTAATATTTTACCTTACTAAAATGGATAAGTTCCAGTCAAAAGAAAAGATCTCAGATYTTTTTTCCTTAAAATAACTATTTTCTTCTACTGGGCCAGAATAAAACTGTRTAAATCTTTGTATAAGAATCAGCAAAGGAAATTAAAATGGTGTTCCTGGAATTATTCTTAATTTATTTTTAGGAAGGTTTCTTTTGGTGTGTGTTTTAATACATAGTAGTTTAGATTTCCTATTTTGCTGGTGAAAGAGRTATCTCACACATTTTTAAGACATGATGGTATAAAATTTCTGTGTCCATGTCAGAAACTTATCTTTAGAAGGAAATGGACATATTCAAAGGTTTCACCATGAAATATAGGACCAGGACATAATTTTTTATTTTCATTATTTCCACCTGGCAGTTTTATAATTTAGATAAAAATTGTACATGACAAAATCACAGTAGAAAGCAGCTTTCAAGGATTTTGGGGAATCCTTCAGTGTAGGCCTTAAAGAGTTTTAGTTTCTAACTGAAAGAGTTGTCCAAGAACAAAAGAACGGGTGAAGCTGCAAAAGAAACGTATCAGGATAAAGTGGTCTTGCTGATTTGTGTTTAGTCCAACATAAATATGTATTTATAATTATACTTCAGGGATTCACATACAAGGAGTGAAATCCAACAATGCTTTAATTCACTTCTGGATGCAGTAGTTAAAATTAATATTACGCCGTGCAAATCAAAGTCAAACATTATCTTTCATGTTTTACTTCTGAAAAAGAAACAAATTGAAATAATTTTTTAAAAGGTTCTAATAAAATATTCAAAATTTCAGTTTAAATGTTTTAAAAGTACTTTTTACTGAAAAAAAAATGTTTATTGTTAATTAAAAATGTGTGGGGTTTGGGTTTCATTAATTTCATTTTTTTTTTTTAATAAATGAACTTCCTTCAAAAGAAAAATTTTAGGAGCAGAAATTGATAAATTTTGAACAGGTACATTTTGAACAGTCTTTTTTTCGCAGCAAAAAATGGTAGGTAGCATAGTGCAGTAAATAGTCCCAACTGCAATACTGTTTAACATAGAGCCAKGTTTTTTGCTGAATGAAATCTGGGATTGACATTCAGAGAAGAGGGAGTGTGTTTACACAGCACACCATGCTCTTCTTATTTTAAAGTCTGATGGATTTTCAGCAGTCTCATACACAAGGTATTTTAAAATACGTATTTGGCTCATTTTAACATATTYCAAACTCCACAATCAAGTAAATTGAAAGAAATGATGTCACAGCTGCTGTACTGCCTGAAATAAAAACCAGAAAATTACTGAATTAGAGTTGATCACATTTAGGGTGAGCATGAATAAACAGAAGAATCCTATCTGCCCTCTCTGAATGTTCATGTATCTTTTGTTCATCTGCAGGCCACAGCGAATACTAAGCTTGAAACCAGTAATTTGTTTGTTTCAAATACRTTTTTCATGGTTCTGAAGAGGTAAGAATTTTTAAAAAGAAGGAATAGATTTCTGTTGGCTACATGTACCCCCAAGTTCATGAATTCCATTAAATCCACACAATGCATATAAATGAATATATTTAACAGAGTCTTCAGTTTTGTATATAGATTTCTTTTTGTTCTATACTGCATGTGAGGAGATTAAAAATAAATGAGGTAATATGGTAATATTTTCATGCATCCAAGCAAAGCTAGTTTCTTGTTATTTSAAAAGTGACAAAGGTCTAAGTCATTAAATTCTGAATATGTGACAATCAGTGATTTATACGAGTAGGTATTCAGAGATATTTAGGCATTTAACATTTGATAAAATGCCTTTACATGACTGGCATTTATAATTGCTTATGCCCTGTTTGTTTGCTGTRTAAATGTGCAATGCAGTATAATAATGGGATAATTTCAGGTAATGAAGAAATAATAAGCTTGGGTAATGAAGTCATAACAGTATAGATTTGAATGTGTGCTTTTAAAACTAAAGGAAATGTTTTTGTGTTCCCAGATGCTGCATTGTTAATATTMTTATTATTGTATTGATATTTTAGCAGCTTGTTTAGCCAAGGCAGAGGGTTGTCCCCAGGAAGATCATTCTGCTTCCTCCTGCTGCAAAGATGGCAGGGCATCTACAAGTGCATGCTCTAGTGCCCCACAGAGCAGGTGAGAGATGAACTCACATACCAGACATCTAGTTTATGCTCCTTGGAAGGGTTTCATGMTGTCAGCATCAGTGGCCTGAGGTTGTGGTGCCTGCTTTTCTTCTTTTTTTTTGAGAACAGGTCCTGTTTAAAAATCATTACTATGTCTTTTCCATGGGAACCCAGCTCCAGTGTTGCACTTTCTTGTATTGCTGTGAGGGGGCTGTTATCAGATAATAAAAATGAAAGGTAAGTAGCCTGCCAGTTCACCACATCTGGGAAAAATACAATGATTGCMATAGTGCAAACCCCTCTTCTCAGTTTCTGTTAGTCTAGTTTATAGACATAGTGAATAACACAGTGAGACTTAACCTGTCTCTACTGCACACATTTGAAACTTGCCAGTTGCATCTTTGAATATTAGAAGTCAATTTTTCACACTTAAATTGATTGAAATACATTGACACCTGTGCATCTTTATTTTTTTCTTTCTTTCTATTTTTTTTTTTTTTTAATATTCTTACATGGATAAATAACTTGCAGGGTAAAAAGCAATTCTCAGTAACATTGAGCTCCAGGCTTGCCAATTCATTCTGGTGTCCCTGGGGAATGTTCTAAYGTCTTTGAGACTAAGTTTTTGTAATAAAGCTCTCTGTCAGCCAACTTGATGACAGACTGTGCACARCAAATTGACAAGACCCTGTATCTGYTTACTCTGYTAGTCATMTGAATTTTATGTTGGGATTTAACASAGAACTCATATTGAAATACAATTTATGTCATACTGTGGTACATGAAAGCTCTAGTCRGGGACCAGGACCATGTGCTGATGAGAACTTCATGTATGCAATCCCAAATMGTGTGCAGTGTGTTTGAAGCTTATGAGCAGTTAATTTCTAGTGGCACAAGAAAGGAAACAATGGTGATGGTTTGGTTTTGTAATTTCTTCCTGCAGGAAGCTCCCAGCCCATCAGTTGATGAGGTTTCAGCCTGGGATGCCGCAGTCCGGTAGTGATGAGCCCCTGGTGGGGAGGAACCCCTGTAATGTTGGTATAATATTATCTTTCTGTCAGCTGTTTGTGGCAGTCCTTACCATGGTCATGCTTTCAGTTCTGGGCAGTTCTGCACCCCATCTTTCTGTCTCCCTGAAACGTTCTTGTGCATGAAGATCATGTCACCGCCAGCCCTTCAAAGAACACACAATTTTAAATTCCATCTACAAAAGACATACATTGTTTAAATTCATAGAATATCCTGAGTTGGAAGGAGGTTKCAAGGATCATTGWGTCCAACTTCTGGTCCYGCACAAAACAGCCCAAGARTYCCACCATGTGCCTCAGAGTGTTTTCCAAGCTATTTTTCAACTCTGTCAGGGTTAATGTTGTGACCACTTCTCTGTGAGCCTGTTGCAGTGCCCAACCACCCTCTAGGWGAAGAACYTTTTCCTAATAYCCAACTTAAAYCTTCCCTGARACAACTTCAGCCCATTCATTCCCTCAGGTCCTGCCAGTGGTCACCACAGGGCAGAGATCAGTYCCTGTTCCTCCTCTTGAAGAAGCTGCAGGCAGTGATGAGGTCCAGCCTCAATCTCATCTTCTGCAGATGGAACAAGCCAAGTGACCCCAGCCACTCCATTAAGTTGGGATTTTTTTGTTTCTCTAGGTTTTTTTTTTTTTATTTCACTATCAAATTATGTGAGAGTCCAAATATATCTAATATCCTGYTCAAAAGCAAAGAGCGGCAGCTGTTGCTTAATCCCTTACCATGGCTCACAGCACACAAACCCAAAATTATTTTATCTCTACTTTCCCCTGTAATACCTCTCTCCAAAATAAACCAATTTGGTGGAAGAGATTTTAAAATGTTTTTGTGACTGTTACATGTCATTATTACTTGATTCACAAGTGTCTATACTACTTTGGCAAGTAACTGCTGAGAACTCATTTTGTTCTGAGGGCAAATATTTGTCATCTTTTTGTTTTTCTGGTACTGATCACTATCCTCTGTTTCTCTAGTTACTGGGACCAGCAGATGATGTGATGTTGAGACTCCTACTGACAATCTGGCATCTGTTTCTCTCCTCATATCCCGGCATCCATCTCCTTTTACAYCCTTTAAGGCCATATATTTTATTGACTGTTTTGGCAAACCTCAATGTTTTATTGCTGTGTTTTTGTTAATGCAACCTAACCATTACTTATCTGTTGGAATTTAGTGTGCTGGTTCATCCTTTAAATTCATTCTTATCTTAAAATCTTGCCTGGCCACGATCTGATGTTGATGGTTTTGTAACTTGCATTTTCTCATATGCTTCTAATAACTTCACCATTTCCAGAAGTTCTTGGGTCACCTATTTTACTGCTCCTAATTCTAGGCTGAGATTCAATCTGGATCAGGCTCAAATCCACTAAAATTTGGGATACAACTTGTGCCTACATTTTGTGCTAAACTGCACAATTTTAATTCTCTCTGAAGTTAGTTAAAAAATTATTTACAAGTCTRTGGACCGTGTGTTTTCCTAAATGCGCTTTCCTAAATATGTCTTCATTGGCTATTACAACTTTGAACACTTGGAGAATTTAGTATAGGTGTTACAAATATAGTTATCAGGCTGGGCACAATGGATGCCACCTTTACTATATATTCTCACTCTTTTGTATCTCTATTTGTCATCTCTCGTGGCTACTGGAATTCCCTCCTCCCAAAATTTATATCTGTCCAAATATTGTCTTTCCAGTGATTTAATCATTCCTTTGTGTAATATTTTTATCATTTTGATGTTGTCTTTTGGCTTTTTGGTTTTTTTTTGCTCCTTACTTTAGTTTCTGTTCAGTCTTCTTGAAATGACTTTGTTCCATTGCTTGTTTGTTGAAGGYTTCTGGTAATTTCTCACTGTGTTTTGAATTGTATTCTTAAGTGTTATTTATCTGCTCTGCAGTAAAACCTCTGTTACCACAAAATGAAGTCTTGACGTGTTTTCGAGTCATAAACACATGGGTCTTCTGGCATATCAAATTAAATTTGGCCTTGTTTGGGGTAGAGTAAAGAAAAAGGTATCAAAGCTTTCTTAAGAATTAACTTTTTTTTTTTTTTTTTTTTTTTTTTTTTTTGTATAGGTAATTTCAGCCATGGCTGCTTTATTTTCAGACTTCAGCAGTTAACCACATATAACTTTTAGTGCTTGCAATGATCGTGACATTTTTACTCTTTTTAAAATGATTTTTTGTGTGACAACTAAATCATACACCACTACTTCAGAGGGAATCTCCCACAGATCTCACTCCACTTGCAGCAATCTTTTTAGAATGTACAGATAGTGCTGTTCCTGCAGAAAGAGAAGGGATTTTTCCCCCCTCTATTTTCTGGCCTAAATAAAAAGCTGTCTCAAACACAATAGAAGGGGCAAAAAAAATCCTTAACCTTCTGGGCTTATATTTAATTCATCTTGGATGAACTTTATACAAGCTTTTATGCTGCTGAATTGCACATTTTAGAAATCTTGTCATTTGTACATTTAGAGCTGAATATATTGCTACTTGCTGGAAAAGAGCCCAGATGATTGAAGTGAGCAAATTAAGTTGTTATTTGCTATTACCTAACTTTCATKTCTATCTCAGTTAAAAGCTTAATATTACAGTTCCATGTTAAGGTTCTAAATTTTAGATCAATTCATGGGAATRCATGAATTATATCCACATATATGTTTGAAAAATTTACCAGAACTGTYGTTTTAAGCATTGAAAGCCTCTATTTGTTAATGTTTACATATGCTAGAAACTGCAACAAAGATAAATTCTGCAGACACACTCATGCTAGAAAATTACTCAAATGTTCTTCATCCAGTCCACTTCAGAAATAAGAAAYAGAAATAAGACACATCAGTAGATGTGGTTACTTGTATTTCAAAATACTTTTAAATACTTTTGTATGTCCAGCTGCTACTGAAAAAGGGAATTTATATGGGGGGGAGGGGTGGGGGTGGGGGAGAGAAAGATATTATATCAATATAAACATTCAAAAATCATAAACATAAAATTATTCAATTTTACAAATTAATTTATTCAATTAGATGCTGGAAATTTACCCATTGAGAACAGATAAAATCTCAGTTTCTCTGCTACATACAAGGAGCAGAATTTATGTGTCTCTGCTAGTGATTTCATTGAAACCATTTTGCGCATGCAATATATCTGACCAAATGTTTTCCCAGGCACAGCCCCTTTCTGATGCAGTCCATTTGAAGMAATACACTACCAAACCTTTGTATTTACTTTAGAAAGTCCCTAGGAAAAAAAGCAATTCATGACATAGATATTATTTTATGATGCTTCCTGTACTGTCTGAAGGGATAATGTGACTCAATTTCAAAGCATTTTATAAAGCATTTTATACATGAGCTGGTGATTGCAGAAAATGTAATTTCCTTTTGATTYGTGAGCACAAAAGTATGCATTTTTCTTATAGCCCTTCACAGTGTTCTTTAGAAATGTGATAATTTTACTAAATTTTAGTTAACAATGCTTGGTTGGATATGGCTCTTCCATTTTCAAAATAACTTGGGAACATGCACAGATATGGATAAGTAATCTGCAAAGTGAATGCWGCTGCATTTTGTCAGCGACAGACCCCAGGGGATAGATCACCTTTGTTCTTCCTGGAGTACATTGGCACAAGTCAAAGTTGTTAAGGATTATTACCACTGAATATATTCCTACTTAGTGGGAGACAGTCCAAGGTACTGGAAACCATAATGAGCTTATTATTTGTTAATACCTGCTGTTTCTAAATTAGAGAAATAAGAGGGRCCATTATGGAAGTTCCATTTCAAAGCCACAAATTTAAAGTTGGGACATGGGCATTTATGTCTGTGTTTTGTCCATATACAAGCTGCTGTGAAAGTATTGGAATGGACACAAAGAAGTATTGGRATGGGATACTCAGGGAGTGGTGGAGCCACCAATCCTGKAGGAGTTCAAGGAATGACTCAGTGCCATGGTCTGGCTGAMAAGGTTGGACTTGGTGATCGTGGAGATCTTTTTTCCAACCTAAATTATTCTGTGATTCTSTGTTATGAGAAAGTTGCACCTGTGAGCTTTTTACCTTCTAAGCGCTTTCTGATGAAGACGCTTTCAGAGAAAGAATTTCACTGAAGTCCAGGATGTCTTACACTTATTTGATGTCTTACAATGGGGACTTAAAACAGGTTCTCATAAAACTAAATCCACAACGCCAAACTTCGCTTCATATCCTGCCCATTACTCTGCRAAAACAAAGATTACAAAATATTGTTGTGATTTCTGAGGAACTCTTGTACAAGACATTGCAAATCATAATAGAAGCTCAAATCACTGAATCAATATGTGATCACGAGTCAATAATAATAAAATGGATGATGAATTMCAGTTTAATTAGTGGGAAAAGTTTTCAAACTCCAGGAATTTTGGATTGAAGACCATATGAAATTGTATTTAAAAYAACAGAAATATACATTGCATTGACTACTTTTTGGCCCTGATTTTTACATATATTTTTATTATATATATTTATTATATAATTAATGTATACRAAGTTATGCAAGTTATAGAAAATTGATAAAATGTATTTATTCAGGTTAACAAGGGTCAAATTGATGCAAGACTTGAGGAGACACTAATTTTGCTTTTCTCTTAAAATTGCTAAACTGCAGTATTAATGTCTAAATAGAGCATGGCTTCAGACATCAGATGATTCCCAGGAGCTCAAGGCATCAGTTGGTGGAGGTCTCACTGGTGGGTCTCACAGACAGCAAAATGCTCTTTTTGCATCTTCATTGTGCATTTCCTACTCTCACAAGTGAAACTTGGAGCCCTTCAGTGTTCAGGTATCTCAGGCATTCAGAGATGACACAAARCATCTTGCCATACTGTCACTTTTCCACCCTTTCTTTCCATCTGAAGCTGTGGCCACWTTGGCTTATTTTCCTCTCCTTTGGCTCTGGAGATGGAGGAGCTCCTGGAAAGCTGGCAGGCGCTGTGCTGAGTACGAATAGAGTGCAACCAGGTTCCCAGCAGCTTTTTTTTTTCTCCTACTGTGAACATTTTTTGCTCTGTCAATTTGCCAGTTTTCCAAAACAATCAGAAATATAACATCCTAAATTTAAGTWCCGTAGAGAGAAAACTATCAGTAAATGAATAAACCAGGAAATGAATTGATGAGCAGAAACCCATGACATTTTGGTTTGGGGATATTCCTAGGTAGGAAATTCATACAGATACTACAAGGAAGGT